TCAAGAAGACCTAGGAAGATATACCAAACTTACATATCGAGTCGCATTTCCTTTCGAACTTCGACTCTTTAATACCGTCGACGACATGGACGACGCGGATCGTCTATATAATCTTTTTGCCATTGTGGTTCATATTGGAAAGTAAGCTTGACATTAGTAAAATTTCAAGGCAATTTTACTGACTCAAAATTCAGCGGACCGCATCATGGACACTATATCTCTATAATCAAAGTGGCGGGCTCTTGGTTCCTTTTCGATGACGATCAAGTTTCATCCATCTCGGAAACCGACATCTCCAAGTATTTTGGTGACTCTAACGCGGGATCTGCATACGTGCTCTACTACCAAGCCGAAGATATCGACACTGCGGCTTTAGGCCTGCGTGTTCCAGATATCTTACCGCCCGATACTCTGACAAACGCCACGCCAGCACTGGAACGATCTCCTATATTCCAAGAAGCCATCCCACTACCCCCTGGACTATCTGCCCTTCCTCAGTCCGAAGCCGAAATTGACCCTTTGCAAACGAACTCTCCTATCCGACATCCTTACTCCGAAAAGCCTGCCCTTGTTGGATCACCCACTGTGCTCTCAATACCGCAAGCGGTTGAATCACCACGGCCACCTTCAGCAGGTGCTACCCCGACCACGCCAACTAGCCTGACAAGCAAACTCTTCCATACCGTTCGTCGAGCACCATCCATGACTGCAACACGTTCATCTGGAGCAGACAATGAAAACCGAAGGTCCTTAACGGACAAATCCCCGAGGCCGTCTGCCTCAATACCCTCATTCGTTAATTCGATTGACTCTGCTACTGAAGCTCCGCCCCCAGTCCCACCATTGCCACCTAATCTCGTGGTGAACAAGCCACAACTGTATCAGTCGGTGGCTTCATCACCTATATTGCCAACTTTAGGCTCTGAACCGGAGAGCGACGTCAGAGACAAGAATAAAGAGAAGGAAAAAGACAAGAAGGGCAGTTGGTTCAGTAGGAAGCGAAAGAGTCTGAAGTTGGGAGACAAGGATAGGAGCAGCAAATACGGAACGTCATCAGCACCTGCAGTACCTTCTCCTCGGCTCATCACAGACGACAACGAACCAGGATCTTCATCCGGCTTATTTACAAGATCAACGAGCTCAACGGGTACACCCATCATGCACCGGCGGCCTTCTGAGAGTGGCTCTCCAGCAGATTTTTCGAGTCTGCATCCAGATTCAGGGCGGAGAGGCGTGAATGGCCATGATGGATCTCATTCACCAACATCAGGGACTTCATCGCCTAGTTCAACATCATTATTGACAAATGGTGCAGGCCATCCTAATGGTTCAACGTCAACAACACAACCTTCGACATCTGTGTCATCTACAACTAGTTCAACACCTCCTTCATTCGACCATTCTCCCGCGAAGAAATCGGCGCTTTTGCCAAGCAGTTCTGATCGAGTACGATCCAGTGTAGATCGGAAACGAAGTTTGGATCTGAAATCGATTCCATACTCTGGCGCACTTATGGCTTCGTCACCACTGTCAACAACACCTCAACCAACCTGGGAGGCCAAACATCTGCCGCCGTTACCTCTACCGCCTTCAAGGGGCTCCAACTACTCACCTTCACATCGATCAACGTCAAGTAACGGATACATCCAACCGGGAGAATACGACACTGGATCAACTCTCAAAGGCAAAGCTAGATCTGTAGAGCCCGAGTTCCCACAAAGCCATACACCCAACGGTTACTTCTCACCACCGTCGTCTTTTCCACTACCTATACCAGAGCCACCGTCTCTTGCTTCTTCGATAGGCGGCAACAACAGTGCAGGAAGTAGTGGTATCTCATCGGCGTCTAATACTATGAAGAGGGCAACACGAAAATTGAGTTTGACAGCCCCAATGCTTGGATTTGGAAAGCGGGAAAAGGACAAGGACAAGGACAAGCGATAATACATGTTGCTTTTTATGTACACATTCTAATTGCATTTTCTGTCGTTCATCTGTATGTAAGGAGGCCTTGTGTTTGTCTTTCTGTGCATTATGTTACAAGTATGCTATTAGCATTTTTAGAGATAATTCAGTTATTGATTAGTTTTAGGCGGTTTCTACATAACATTCTATGTGGAAGGAAAGCGATTGATAGCAAGTGGCAAAGCAATACGATAAAAAAGAGAGTCAGGCTACATTGTAAGCATTAAAGAAAGTAAGCTTCGTTTTGAAGTTCTACAGCTACAAAAAAAAAAAAAAGTCAATTTAGTGATACAAAGTGGAAGGATGGCAGGTTTCAAAGGTCCCTGGATCAATCAAGCTGGTCCACCAGCGGTATGCCAGCCTGTGATGTGGTTCACAAACTGGCGCGAGGTCGAGAATATAAATGTTATCCGCGTCCTCAGAAGCAAGCGCGACCCGACCACTTGTTTCGTCCCAAGTTATCGCAGCCAGACCACCCTCTTTGTTAACGAGACCAGCATAATAATCTGAGCCACGGATGTCCCTGAAAGCGAAGTGGGTGACGTTGTCCTCGGAAGCTTCTTCGCGGACGGGATAGCAAACGTCCTTGGTGGGATAGCGCTTAACGTAACGGTCCTCTGGCCAAAAGAAGCGTCGCATTTTGATGATAGGATGGGCATCGGTAAGCCCTTTCTTGAATTCGTAGAGTAGTGTACGCTCACTGCCTGGGAGAGCACGTTCACTATGGCCGGATCGATTCAAATGAAGACGAGGGTGATCGTCAATGTCGGTGCACTTGTAGAGCATCGGTGAATCGGGATCCCATTCGTGCATTCGCTCGGGTCGGAAGCACCAGTACGCCGAGCCTTTAGGTTGGTCTAGCGAAGCGAATGCCCATAGAGTCGGAGGGCATTCCTCTCGGGGATGTGGATCTGGGTGATCCTCAGCCATTTTTTTCCAAGGGTCAACGGGGTCGGCTATGACAATCTCGCTATCCAAAGGCATTGCATCGCGACACTGGTACCCGTAAATGGCATCAACGGTATGAAGACCTGTGCTTGCCGGTACATTGTAAAATTCTACGACGTGGACTTCGGGTTTGCCAGGAGTGAGCGAAATGGAGCGGAACACCATTATACCATCTTGCGAGGGCAAAAATCTCCATGCCCGGATTCGATGAGGCTACGGGAAAAATCAGGGGCTGTGTGCCTAATGAAAACTGGGAAATCGTACTGCTCGGTCAAATCCGGGGTAGTCTTGAAATTGAAGTGTCGCACTCAAGGTGCCTTTGTCCTCCAACTGGGTTATTCGAATACCATGGTTGCCAATTGCACAACCGAAGAATGGTACGTCCCTGAACAAGAAAAGGGAAGGCGAATGAATTTCGACAGGCGATTCCTCGCGCATAACATCGCAGAATGGCTGCGGTAATGAGCGAGCGACGCCAAGGTATCTGTTACGATCTAGCCAAGGATGCATGTTGGGCCAAATTACACGTTCAATATTCTCGAGGTCCATATGAACACAGCAGGCCTCGTAGAGCAGAGGATGCGCCTGGTCAATTGGAGTTCGGTGGCTAAAGTCGGAGATGTTGATACTAAGGAATGATTAGAGAGGAAAAATATTTAATTAGGAAACGACTTACTCTATAGGTGCTCCATACTTGAAGCGCCTTCGGGTATACGAAATCATTATGCCAGGTCGACTTCGGTAGTCCATGTACTTTGCTTGCAAGTCGTACACTTTGAAGAACGTTGGCAAGCGAGCAATCAGACGCGACCCATCAACGATATCCAACGCGTAAACCAGTACATAGAAACGAAAGTTACTTCTATCCTTGGCTGACGCAACCAAGAACTTCCCTCCTGGTAACATTTTCAGGTCGATAATTTTGTACTGAGTCGTTAAAACGCGATATTGTTCCATTTTGGGGAAGTTTTGACGCCATGAACGATCGAGTGCGCAAGCACGCGTAACGAGAAACTCGATTTCATAATTGGATGACGATTCGCTGAAGCGAAAGGTTGGTCGAAGTTGTGTGAGTGGAACTTGTAGTCGACGCAGGTATCGTTTCCAAATGATAGGTTCATGAGTGAGGAAGTACATCCCTTTGCATGTCTAAGCAGACATGAGATTGTATGTCAAAAAATTTCAACAAAAAACACACCTTTCGTAAAGCAAGTAGATCGTCAATGAGAAGGTATGGAAAAACACCGTCGATGAAGATATCTGGCGACGTTCGTAGAAAGTGACATTCTTGCGATTTGTTGAAGTAGAGGTCGAACGCGTATTTAACCTTATCCAAGGCTCCTGAAACCCAAGAAGACATGACGAAAAAAAAAAGTCGTAAATGTAGCCCAGAAACCAAACGAACGAGGTGCGCAGCACCGAAGAAAAACGAAAAGTGGGAAGAAAGAAGGTGAATTTTAGGATTTTCGACGTTGTCCCATTTTGTACCGTGTCTTGTTATTTTGAAAAAGGAAACGGCAGGCGCCTTGCTTGACGCTCATCGAGTCACGATGGTGGTAGACCTTGTTCAAGAGTACAAAGGGATCAGGCTTCGATGTTCGATCACCTTCCGAAAACGGAAGGTGTTGTACATTCGCTTCAACAATTTCCTCGTTCTTTGCCTTGAGAAGGAGCGTATCTAGCAGCTTGTGTTTGACTTTTAAGTTTTATTGGATATGGTTTTATTGCATGGACAACAAAAATACCGATTTCCCTATGCGGTTCAGCTGCAGGATCTTTGGTACCTTTGGACAACTTGATGGATTTATTTTAAAGTAGGCATAATCTTTTTTATCTGCCATTTGGCCTGACCACAAATGAGTATCTTCTTATAATCTAATTCTGCTGTCTGAACGACCGTAGCTTCCTCTACCAAGCACACCCGTGGGCAACTCTGATCAAGCCCCTAAAGATACTGATGGCCTTTGTTCTGGGTTCCAACCATGCGGCTTTTCAAATCGGCAAGCGTAAAAATAACTCAGCATGATCTCAACAAGGTCCTATAATACATTTCTGGGTCTATTGTTTATTTCCCGTACTCCTTCCATGGCGAGATGGCCGAGCGGTCTAAGGCGCCAGACTAAGGATCAGGAAGTTTGACTTCCATCTAGTGAGCATCAGCTTACGTAATCTGGTCATTCGTGGCGTGGGTTCGAATCCCACTCTCGTCAAAGGTTTTTGCATCTTCCAAGAGCTTAGTTTGAGCTTTTTACGAGCAGAAACGCTCGAGAAATGAGCGAGAAAGGGGCTTCGAGGCGGTGTTACTACTTTTAGCAAGTGATCGGACTCGTGGGATGATTGTGACCGATGGTGACATCTGCCTCACAGCTCAGTACCACAGCAGTAAAAATTCCAACACAAAGTCTTTCAGGTGCGCTATCGCCCATAAAGCCCCCTGGAACAACATGCGAAACTGCAATATTGCTTTGATCTGTTGGGATCATCTCCGACGTACATACTGATTGATGGTCAGGGTCGCGCAAATCTTCAAACTTCAAGGAGAAGGGACTCTACCGAACATACTTCAAGCCACAACCAGCGAACATGTGGGACAAGAAAATCACATTCCTCATTCTCTGAATAGGTACAATTAACCAAAAAAAAAATACGATGGAAAACTTTTTACAGACGACTCTGTTACAGATTTACAAGATACAAACACGCAAAAAATTAAATCAGAGTTTCCCCAACATAGAAGTGAACGTTATCACCCTCGCCGAGAGTAAGTCTGACAGGAAGACGAGGGTCGATTCTGACCGGAGCGCTTGATCCAACGAAGAAATCGCCACGAGTAAAGTTGCGAGTGATGGCAGCGGCTTCCTCTTCAGTTAGGTTCCGTGGGCGCTTGTTTGGGCGAAAGGTCGATGAAGAAGCACCAGTGAATGTACCATTGTAATCGTAGTACTGCTGGTGTGACAGAGTAGGCGTACCCTGCATGGTCGCAGCATACATGGGAGGTGGTGCAAATTGCACGGTACTTGTGGACGCTGCGGCCAGAGGATAAGATAAGCAATTATTAGGACAGGCAAGACTTGAGACATACAGGTCGCACTATGATGTCCTTGATGTTCTTGAGTTGTATGCTGAGCATCGGGATCGGGGTAAGCACAAGTAGCGCCGAGGCCTCGCTTCAAGCAGCTCTGGTGAATCGTCAATAAATATATGGATTGATACGACGAGGAAGAGGGCCACCGACCTGGCATGGCAAAACTTCGCTGCATCTGGTTTTACCTGAATGGCAAGCCACACATGCCCTCCGAACGGAAGGTGCTTTCGCTGATGGCCAAGATAATGAATACAGTTAGGGGCGAACCGGGCACCGGAGGAGATGAGGACTGGACTCACGTTTGCGAGGAGGTTCTGGTTGACCTGGCTGCATGGGCTGCTGGGCCAGCTGCTGCTGAACTGCTGCATCTTGCTGTTGCTGCTGCTGTTGAGCCTGAAGCTGCTGCTGAAGTTGCTGGGTATCGATTGCTGGAGGCTGCTGGTCCTGGGCCGGTTCATCTGTGGGCATGGCCGACATAGAGGGCGACGGAGATGGAAAATGCGGGGGAACCACGGGCGATGGCGGCGCATGCCTCCGACATGTGGCCCGGCAATGACCGATGTAACATTTTGTTGTGACTACCGGCAATCAATTCGCGTGTTGCCGGTATTCTAATTGGTTTCGTTCTTAATCCGCAATGTCGACCAACTCTCCGCTTCATCCCCCAGTTCCCTTCTCAGACTTTGAATCTTCTTATAATTCATCCATGTCGGGCGTCTATCAGAATCATCCGCCACAGATTCCCCCCTCGGCAGACTTGTTCTCAGCGTCTGAAACAACAGACCTCCTGGGTTTTCTCGATAATTTCAACGACGTCAACTGGGATTACGCCGGTGCAGCAAACAGTCCAAATTATCCTCGTAATCAGACAGGTCAATTATCGGCGATGCCTCCGTATTCAAATCCGCATCTGGACACAATACCAGACCCCTCTACCTCTTCGAGACCACGCGCAACAGCTCGCTCGTCGGCATTGAGGGGTCCGTCGCTATTACACGACGACCGGCCCATAGACTTTGGTGGACGAATGGACAGTCGCGCCCCAAGCGATCCTTCTGTGTCCCCCGACCCCTCCTACTCCTCTAATCCAGATCAACGGTCGCGTAATGACCCCCGCTCGCGTCCACTTTTATCAACACCTCAAAAGCGTCTGAACCACATTATGTCAGAACAAAAACGACGCAACGCTATCCGAGATGGATACGCACAACTCATCTCCCTGTTAGCACCTGATGGTGCGCCAACAATTGACATGCCCACTCGGGGGCGGCCTAAAGGAAGCGGTAGTCATTCCAAGGGGCAAACCAAAGGCAAAAGTGGTGTCCTATTCCGTGCGGTGGAATATTGTCTCTGGTTAGAGGAAGGGCGGGATGCCCTTCGGGAAGAAGTTTTGAGAGTCGAAGCTGCGGCAGGCATTCAGCACACATAACATTCCGCTCTACGATACTTGCTTTCCTCCTAATTTGGTTTTCTCTTCCATATTTCTACTCTTTTCTGGAATTTGTATTGCGAGCGTTCCGGCCCCATGTAACTTCTAGCCATCTTACCACTGTTGTATTGTTACAGTACAGTTTTTGTTGTTGTTGAACGTACCTGCAATTCGGCTCACCATGTTTGAGAGTGACTGATATCACTCGATCTGTAATCGGCGTGTTCCATGTCATGGCCCTGTTAAATCAATTGATGCGGCCCCCGATCCAAACAAGCACATGCCTCCTGTACCATTACCGCCGCCAGCATGGCCAATGCCTCTACTCAAACTCCGTATAGACGATATAGACCATGAAGGAGCTGGTATCTTCTTGGAAGCCGTAAACCCAAAGCTTGCTCTTCATACAGCAGTGGCTGCCTCGTTCAAGTGGCTCTATACATCAGATACAGTACCCAAACAGTAAGTCATTATAACGCGGTTGATAGACTTTTTGATCTATAATGCCTCGTTTGTTCATGAAATCTGTTGTAGTGTGACACAAGTCCTCCTTGTTTTGCGCAGTATGCCAGGAGTAGCATACACTACAGGCACGCATAACGAGAAAGAGATCCATTTTTCGTTAGACTACATACTCCAGTCAAAAGCACGAGCTCACGATGAGATTATGGGTGTCCTTGTCCATGAGGTCGTCCACTGCTTTCAACACAACGCAAGGGGAACCTGCCCGGGGGGACTGATTGAAGGCATTGCGGGTGAGTTTGATTGTGACAGCGCTCTGATATTCGGGTGGAAATTGCCATTAGTGGTGGCTATCTTGTCTCCATTTGATAACATTTCCTTTCATTCATTCACTATCGAATAGATTTCGTACGGCTATCGGAACAGCTGTCCCCGCCGCACTGGAAGCGTGTAGCTGGACAAAAATGGGACGTTGGATACGAGAAGACTGCATATTTTCTCGATTGGATCGAGAAGAATTATGGAGATGGGACTATTCGCGAGCTCAACGAGCTCATGAAGAACACTGATTACCATCGTCGTATTTTCAGAGAGCTTACAGGTCGCCCTGTGCGTAAGCTCTGGGTAAAATACTGCCGGAGCCTTGAAGGATCGGTTGTTGTCCAGCAGGATAAATAATTATCCGTTGGGTTGAAGGCGAGCTTGTTTCCCCAAATATCTTTGTAACCTGACCGTTTACCCCTTCGCCAGTAACGCATATGCACTTGTTTTGTACCAAGTTGATCTTGAACACTCGAGCTAGAGGATTGTGCATACTCTGGGATGATATTGATTCGATCCCGATCTCAATGACTCGTATCTGCGGTGTTTTCTCCTTTAGATCTTCTTTTACTCTCGCCCCGTATGTGGGTGAGGCATGGAATTTAAAGATCAACTCCGCCGTGTTTAAAACTCAACACAGCGGTGATCATGAACGACTTTGTGTTGGAAAGAATCTCCATAAGGATAAGACGGATGCGCCGTGGGCCCGTTTATTGAGAGCTGGAACAAAAAGTAGGCCTCATCTTTTGCGTTCCAAGCTGAGTTCTGTATCAATCAAATTCTTAGAATGGTCACTAACGCACACGATCTTCAGTGTACTGTCACTTGATGAAGGTCTTTGAGGGTATTCGAATAGTCGCCAGCGGATTGTTTCACAATCAGGCTACACAAGGTCCACTCGGATTTCCATTCATCTGCTTTAAACACAGTCATCGGTCGTCAAACCTCGCCTTAGTGAAGCGGACACTGGATCGAGGGACAGTACTCACCATACCTTAATTTAGAACGAGGGCTGAATGGCTAGGGAATGTTAAATGACTGCGAGTTTGAAAAAGGACGCGGGGACATTTAGAAACCCTAGGAGCTACTTTACCCCAGGTGTACATCTAGAATTGCTGCGTAAGGAGACAGTTTAACATCCAACATCAATTGGCTGGAAACAAATGCCGAATTAGAGTTCAGGGGTAAGATAAGCCCGATGGAATGAAAAGAGACAAAAGCTACAGATACAACGAGGTTATTGTTGAGAAATGTGGATTACAGAGTGTATGCGAATAAACGTAGAAATAACAATGAAAGCTCGGGAGGAGGTAGCCAAAAAATGGAAATGGTAGATCTTGGACGACAAGCTAACCCATGTCGTCCTCCAAGGCCTTGGTAAGGAAGTCGTCCTCTTCATCTTCCTCAGATTCGCTCGTGGTGTCTGCATCGCTATCTTCATCTTCATCTGCGTCTTCAACAACCGGCTTAGGGCTTGGTTGCGCAGACACCGTGCCGTTACTGACTGTGTCATCTTCGTGGCCATCCACTAGCTGGTCGGCCGTGACACCTTCTTTGAGCCTCGAATATCCCGTACGCTCTGAAGCCAACTTCTTCCGCTTCGCCAACGGAGATCTTAAGGCATCGTCGTCCGTGGTGTTCCCGTTGGCCCCGCCCGCATCGCCGTCCGAAGGTGTCACACTCCGTGGACGCTTGCGGCTATTGAGTTTCGGGCTGTTCGTCACACTTCTGCAAGCGGAAAAAAACGCGTTAGTGAGAGCCATCAGACAGCCACGCGAGTAAAGGAAACGAAATCAAGGACCAACGGTGATTATATGAATAAACGCACCCTGAAGCACTGTTGCCATCTGTCCACTCCTCCTCAGACGCTTCACCACTCCTCATTCCATAACTCTTCTCACTCCTGGCGTCGT